AAGGTTGTACTTTCTCCTTTCTTCATTAGACCATTCATGGCGCAGTTTGGTGATCATCTGGGGTTGACCACTACCAGTGATGTATTCAGGGTTGACCTTGGTGAACTCTATGAAAGGTCCTGCATCAAGTACTTCCCACATTTCGTCATGGAGTGCGCAGAGGTGAGCTTTCATGCGGATCCTGCAATCATCAAACTTTGTTACTGAGAACATAAGATTCTTTGAAAGAGTGTTATCCATAATATGAGATTAAAGAGGCTAAAACAAGTGGATCTCTTGTTTAGTGAGTAACCTAAAAGATTACAAGAACAAGGAGGCTCTGATACCACTTGTTGGTCCCGTTTGTAATAGGAACAGTCTAGAGGGGGGGGGGGGTGAATAGACTGTTCAGGAATTTAAACTTTTCTCCAAGTCAAGTCTGAATTTAACAGAGATGGTCGAAATCTGGTGACAGAGATGGTCAAGTTCTGATGGCAGAACTAGACCAGGCAGCGGATAAGTTTCTGTCCGGGTAGCCTCTAGAAGAAAGCTAAGGCAAAATGCCTTTCTGATAACTCTGAAGGAAGATCTGCTGGACACAGATTCCAACCTAAAGAGTTAGTCAGTAGAATCTTAAGTGCAGAAAGTAAAAGCTGAAAGTAAATGAGACCGGGGTTTTTATAGTGGTTCAAGGAACAACTCGTTCCTCTAGTCCACTGTTCCACTAAGCTTGCAAAAACGACAGTTTACAACGCCTTAGTCCCTAGAACTTAAGAAGCACTCCTCGTCTTCTTCAAGTCTAGTTGCCACCCGGGATGCAGTCCTGCTTCCTGATGGCTGGTCTCGTTTCACTGAGTCTCTTGAAGTATCTCCACTTCACTTACTCCAGCTAATTTGAGACGTCCCTTCTTTTTCAAGAAGTGTTTGATATAGAATCAGTTTTCTCCAACGTTGCTTCTTCACAAAAGATGAGTATATGAAGCTCTCGAAGTGTTGAAGAACTGAGTAACTTTGCCTTTGCTAGTTGGATGAAGGATAGGAATGTTTATCTTCCAACTGTGGCTTTTTCTTGTTAGAAATGGAGTTTTGATCTCAAGAAAGTTGTTCACGCAAATCTATCTTGGCAAAGGTTATGGCAAAGTTTCTCTCTTAGTTCTCCAGAGTGTATCTTATATACTGGGAGCGGTCTTCCCGTTGGAGTGTAGAAGACAGCTTCATTAAATGCATGTACTGTTGACTTGACCGTTTGGTCCTCCGACTTGCTATTTTGGGGGCGTAAAGATATTCGCATGGTCAATCATCAGCTTTAAATATCTCTTCGTACGTACAGCATTAAATGTGCATTTAATGCGTGTACAGTGCCACGCTTCCGTTGAAAGGTTCGTAACCGTTAGAGGATTTCCCGTTAGTTTAGCGACCGTTGGAAGGGCTTCCGGATTCTGATGATACTTAGCAGAGTCTCAAGAGGTTCTCTGGTCCAGTCTCTGAAGTCCGTCTCTGGTGCCAACTCTGGTCTATTTCTGATAACCAGTTTCTGATAGCTTCTCTGGTGAGCAACTCTGGGAGCAACTCTGGTAGAGGCAAGATGGAACTCTGGCAGGCAGACTAAGCTAAAACTTACAAAAGAAATTCTAATACATAATTTCTAATGGGGTACTTTCAAATTCTAATTAATCCTAGCATCATCAAAATCTAAATATATTTATTCCTTACACACATTTACAGCCAGCCACGTGCATCACCAGCTACAACTTCTACAACTGCTCAGGATGCAAAAAAGACAAATTCTTCTGTTGCTGATTCTGTGATTTCACTCACTGCAGAAAATGTGGACGCAAACCGCGATGTAAGTACCCCTAATCCTTTTGTTTATTCTTGCTCTAGAACGGACACACACGATAAAATCAAGGAGCTAGAAGAGAAATTTGATAGAGCCTATGGTATCTATAACAAATTGAGAGAAAATCAGACCTGCTCTAACATTAAAATAATCAATTCAGAGAAAATAATTGCTAAGCTCACAGCCGAGAACAAAAGATTGAGTGATAGCTAAAAGGAACTTAAGGAGAAACTCAGAGTCTCTGAAAAGGAAAGAATCAAGTTTTTTGGTGAAAACAATTTACTCAAAGAAAGAAGGGGTGCTCTTTATTCCAAAATAAAGAACTCGAAGAGCTGTTAGCTAAGAGAGGTCAAACCGACCAGACCATTTTCCTTAACCAGCCTAAGGACACTCGTTTCTACAACTCCAAGGAGGGTCTTGGATTGACTAATCCTCAGAACCTGAAAAGGTTGATTGTATTCAACTATATGATATGAAATACATGAGATTAGGATTGACCAAACTTATGGCCTTCACTGGAGCTGAAGAAACGAATGTCGTCAAGGATGAAAAGAGAAAGAACAAGTCTGGTGCCAAGATCCCTTTTAACTATACAGAGTTAAACAAAAGTTAACAAACCAAAGAACCCCCTTTGACCCTCGCTGATGAAATCTTGACTTATCTTCCTGAGAAGGAAACTGAAGGAGAGAGAGAGGAACCTTCTACCTCAGAACCTGTAGTCAAACCAGCATACATTCCACCTCTTATGAGAAAGTTTGTTGAGTTAAAAGAAGCTTTTGATAAAGAAAAACAGGTTCTTGAACAAGAAAAGAAACAACTTCTTAAAGAAATATCAATTTTGAAAATACCCTCTCTATCTCACACAGTTTCTCAAACCTCTTCATCTTCTTCCTCGGAAAACTCTTTTGAAAACTCCATCGATAGCAGTAAGACTTCTCCCGCTCACTCTGAGTCTCCTTCTCCAACAGGGAACCAAGTGAAGAAGAGAGTCGAGAAAAGAGGCGAGTGGATAGAAGAAAAAATAAGAAGAAGGAAGAGAGAAGAAGAGTCAAGAGTATTGAATAAGAATCAGCGAGCGAGTGCACTTTTCTATGTCAAAAATAAATCTAGAATGAGCATTAGAGAGTCGTTTGCTAATCATTCTAGTAGTGTTGTTCCTAGGACTTCCCTTTGTGAACCCTCAACTAGTTATGATAGTAGACCTGCCTCTAAGTTTTCTCTTTCCAAGATACCTGTCACTAATCGCTGTACTAGTTGTGTTTCTCTGAATTGTGTTAAGTTAATGAAATGTTGCTGTTTTGAGTCCACTTCCACTGATAATGAAACTGATCCTGTGAGTGCTAAGAAAAATTTGAAAAGGCGTAACGCTGACAAAACAACTGTTGAGGGGAAATTCAAACTTTCATTCTTAAAGTATCCCCTCAAGGTTAATTCAGCTAAACATCTGAAAAGGCTCTCACAGGAACCAATTTTGAAGGATCATATATCTGAAATCTCTCTTGCTCCAAAAATAAAATAAATATGGGTTCCCAAGGCTGAGGCTGATCAATTAAAATTGAAAAATGATTCTCAAATAGTCAACCTGGGATCTCAAATTAAAAGGAAATTGAAACAACTGCTCACTGTTGATAAGGAAGGACCCATCTTCCGATGGGTACCTAAGCGAAACTAATCTGTTTTGCAGGTCAGTCATGTGTGGCATCTTGATTCTGGTTGCTCGTCACACATGACTGGACAAAAGGAACTTTTGAGCAACTATTCTGAAAGATATGGAGGAAATGTGAGGTTTGGGAACAACGCTTCATCGCCAATTCTCAGAATAGGAGATGTCATTTGTGAGAGTGTCACGACCAGAAACGTGTCGTTTGTACAAGGACTGAAGCATAACTTGCTTAGCATTGGCCAATTTTGTGACAATGGAATGGAAGTGAGATTCCATGCTAAGCAATGTTGTGTGATGGATATGAGCGGGAAACCATTATTAAGGTGTCAGAGGAAAACAAATCTCTACACCATTGATCTTAAAACAGTCCGATCCCCCATATCCATCTGTCTTTTGTCCAAAGCATCTCAGGAACAAAACAATCTATGGCACAGACGTCTCTCACACTTGAATCTGCCTGCTATATGTTCCCTCTCCTCAAAGAAGCTTGTGAAAGGAATTCCTGTATTGAAGAACTCACCCAATCACCACTGTTCTGCTTGCCATTTCGGAAAGATGAGGAGCGCATCACACAAGTCAAAACAATTTCCCTCCTCATCTCATCCCATGGAGCTACTACATATGGATCTGTGTGGTCCGATGCGTGTTCAAAGCATCAACGGACGCAAATATACTTTGGTAATTGTGGATGACTACTCACGCTACACATGGACCAAGTTTTTGCGATCCAAGGACGAAACTCCAAATCTGATCATAACATTCATCAGGACCATTCAGAACTACCTGCAGCAAAACGTGAAAATAGCCAGAACTGATAATGGGACAGAGTTCAAGAACAAGGAGTTGGCCGATTTCAACGAAGCTCAGGGAATTACTCAACAGTTCTCTGCAGCTAAAACACCACAGCAGAACGGTGTAGTAGAAAGATGGAACAGGACCCTAGTAGAAGCAGCCAGAACTATGCTGACACAGTCAAAGCTTCCTCACTTCTTGTGGGCTGAAGCTATCAACACGGCTTGCTTTACCCAGAACAGGACCATGATCCATAAAAGATTTGATAAGACCCCCTACGAGATTGTGTTCAAGCGACTCCCAAACATCGCCTTTATTGGATATTCTACTAACTCGAAAGCCTACAGAGTATACTTGAAAGATAGAAGAACCGTCATGGAGAGCATCAATGTGAGATTCTATGAAATGGCGGACATGGTTTCTGAGCATTTTCAATTTGAACCAACAATCTCTGAAGAAAACCAGGCACAATCATCTTCTAGAATTTGAGAACAGAAAGGTGAGAGGAGATCGGATGAGCACGTGATACTGGACTCTTTATTAGAGCACTTCTACAGCCAGCCACGTGCAACACCAGCTACAACTTCTACTACAGCTCAGCCTTACCTGTTACCTGCTCCCGCAGCAGAAGAATCACAAACTCCTGTTCAGAACGATGATGAGCACACACAAGAACAAATTTCATCTGATCCTCCTACTCCTCAATTTTTTTGGATAAAGGGTAATTATATATTATCCAAAGAGTTTATGTACAAGTACATCCACAAAAAAGGGGGAGCAAAAATGGGGCTATCCCAACGAGGGATATGCCAAGACCTGTGGGCTATACTATCAATCCCAAATCAGACAAAAAGGGGCAAGGAGCCGTACTACACATTATAATTCAAAACATAATAAGTTCATGAGGGTAGATACTAAAAAGGATCTTATACACCATGTATTGGATCCTAGCAAAAACTTCCTCCTCATGAGCTTTGGCATCATCAAATCTGGTTGCATTCCGCACCCTCCATATCCAGTATATGGTGTAGATAAATGCAATCCGGGCAGCTTTGGCTTTGACTCCAGCACCCGCATGGTCCTTCTTGATCCACTTCACCGAGCTATCCAGGGTGGTCATCTGCCTAGGCATCCCAATCCATGCTCTCACTTTGCTCCATACCTGTCCTGTAAATTGACAACCAAATTATAGGTGTGCTACCGTCTCCGGTTCACCCTTACAAAACGGACAGATGTTAATCACCTCAAGCCTACTAAGGTTATCATAAGTTGTTAGGCGATTGCGGAAGGCAAGCCAAGCAATAAATGAAAATTTTGGGGGTATATAGGCTTTCCAAATGAAAGGCATCCAAACCTGAGTGTTGCTCTTGATTCTAATGAGGTCATAAATTTTAGAGGAGCACAACTTCCCATTAATAACAAGCTTGGAAAGGGCATTAGTTGTGCTCCCAATAGAGTCAAATTTAGAGACCAAAAGGTCTCGGATCTGCCCAAACTTCTTCATAAGTTGGGAGTCCCTAGTGTGTGGGGAGAAATCCCACACACTTCTACCCTTAAGGTATACCCCATGCACCCACTTTACCCATAAAGTATCACGCTTAAGATGAATGTCCCACAAGGTCTTAGAAAGAAGAGCATTATTCCATGTTTTGGTATGTCTAATGCCCAAGCCCCCCTCCTCTTTTGGAAGGCACATATTAGCCCAAGCAACCCTGGAAAATTTGCACCCCCAAAAGAAAATACGGCAAAGTGAAACCACTCTGTCTAGGATGGCCTGTGGTATAGGGAACACCTGTAACCAAAAGGAATGTACCCCCTGAATAACAGATTTGATTAGCTCAGTTCTACCTGCATAGGACAAGGTTTTAGTATTCCATGCGTTCAAATAATTTGTAACCTTCTCCAGGAGTGGGGCATATTCGGCCACAGCCAGTTTTAGGGGGGAGAGGGGGATCCCAAGGTATTTAACCGGGAAAGCTCCCACTTTGAAGTCCACCAAATCAAGTATAGCTGTGAGATCATGGTCCCTAACTCCCCCCAAAAAAATGTTTGACTTGTCAAAATTGACCCTTAATCCCGAGACATTACCAAACTCATTTAGAGCATCTATCAAAATCTTAACAGAATAAGTATCCCCTCTACAAAATAACATGAGATCATCAGCATATGCAAGGTGTGAAATCTTAAGGCTACCACATTTAGGGTGGTAGTTAAAACCCGAGGTGGTTTTCAAGTTCATTAATCTAGATAGGTATTCCAAGCAAAGGACAAAAAGGAGACGCAACAAAGCAACGAGTATACTGACCCCGATCAACCAATCATAACTCCATTACCTCTCCCTCATGAGAGAAGATGGACGAAAGAACATCCGCCAGAGCTGATAATCGGTGATCCATCAAAAGGAGTAAGAACCAGAGCCGCATCAGTCAATGAATGCTTATACTCTTGTTTTCTGAGCCAGAAAGAACCTACAAAAATGGCTGAAGCATTAGCTGATCCGGACTGGATTGTTGCGATGCAAGAAGAGATAAACCAGTTTGAAAGATTAAAAGTCTGGACCCTGGTGCCGCGACCGTACAGAAAAACCATAATAGGCACCAAATGGGTATTCAAAAACAAAAAGGATGAAGACGGTGTGATAATAACGAACAAGGCCCGCCTGGTAGCAAAAGAATACAATCAACAAGAAGGAATTGACTACGATGAAACCTTTGCACCAGTGGCACGAATTGAGGCCATCAGACTATTTCTTGCATACGTCGCACACAAAAGCTTCACTGTTTATCAAATGTATGTCAAGACTGCGTTTCTAAATGGCAATCTGAAAGAAGAAGTCTTTGTTGCGCAACTTGAAGGCTTTGTGGATCCTGAACGCCCAAATCATGTATATAAGCTGAGAAAAGCCCTGTATGGACTGAAACAGGCACCGAGAGCCTGGTACGAAGCATTATCAGATTTTCTTGTGGAATCAGGCTTCTCGAAGGGAAAGATAGACCCAACTCTCTTTATCAAGCGACACAAGGGTGACATCATGCTGATACACATTTATGTGGACGACATCATTTTTGCCTCATCAAATCCAAATTTCTGTCAAAAGTTCAGCAATATGATGTGCACCAAGTTTGAAATGAGTATGATGGGGGAGTTGAGCTTCTTTCTCGGGCTTCAGATCAAGCAAATGCCAGACGGAATATTCATCAACCAGTCGAAATACATCCACGACATGCTTAAGCGCTTCAAAATGGACAGCAAGTCGACGATAAAACCCTCCATGTCTCCCACACAAAAGCTCGACTCTGACCCTTCCGGGAAACCAGTCGATGCTACTAATTATCGGGCTATCATCGGTTCCTTACTGTACCATACATCTAGCAGACCGGACATTGTCTTTGCGACCTGTCTCTGTGCACGATTCCAAGCAAATCCTAAGGAGTCACATCTGAATGCAGTGAAAAGAATATTGAGATATCTGAAAGGAACAGTTAATCTGGGCCTTTGGTATCCCAAGGAATCAGGTTTTGACCTAGTGGGATACTCATATGCTGATTTTGCGGGTTGCAAACTGGACAAAAAGAGTACATCCGGTGGTGCACAATTTCTAGGTGAAAAGTTGGTATGCTGGTCTTCTAAAAAGCAGAATTGTGTGTCCACTTCTACAGCTGAGGCAGAATATGTCGCGGCTGCTAGTTGCTGTTCACAAATACTTTGGATGAGGACACTGCTGAAAGACTACGGTTTCACATTCTCACACATCCCGATCTATAGTGACTCTCAAAGTGCAAATGCCATAACGTGTAATCCTGTCCATCACTCACGGACGAAGCATATTGACCTCAAATATCATTTTATCAAGGATCACGTTGAGAAGGGCACCGTGGACATGTACTTTGTGTCCACGGAATTGCAACTGGCTGATATATTCACAAAGGCACTGGATGAGAAGAGATTCAATTTCCTGATCTCTAAGCTGGGGATGCTGAACCAGAACGAATAAGTAACTCTGACTTGTGTGTGATGTGATCATATTTTATTTTATTTTTCTGTTTAAACATTTTTTTCCAAATTGCATTTTTTTATTTTTATTTTTTCATGCATCACATTTTTTTCTTTTTTCCATGCATCTTTCCTTAGTTAAATTTTTCAATGCATAAATCAAGGGGGGGGGGCTTTTTCAAAATCATGCATAAATTGAGGGGGAGTTTCATAATTATTCATTATCAAGAGAGCAAGGGTTGAGGGGAGAGCTCTTTAAATATTGAAAACAGATAAGTCTGGGCCCGTTAACCTTTTGTTTCCGGGCCTAGCTATTTAAACCTCAAATCACGAATCTCCTCCTCTTCACTCTATCTCTCTACGCTAAAACTCTCTAACTTCCTCTCAGTCGAAATCGCTCATCTCCCCTGTTAAGCTTTTAAGGTTTTTCGCTCATCGTCTCTTTCAAAGGGTAAATACTCCTTATTCGTTTCAAAATGAATGCTTCACAGGTACACCAATGGCGAACAGATACAACGAAGAAGACGAATGAATAATCGCGCAAAACTGATGCGCGAAAACAACCTGATGCGCGATTACCCTGCTGTGAGAATCCGGCCTGTGCGCGATTTTGGGGACGCGTGATTCCCCCTGTGCGCGATTCTCACTGTGCGCAATTATGGGGACGCGTGATTCCCTGATGCGCAATTCTCACCATGCGCGAAAGCAAATGCGCAATTTCCCCATGCGTGATACCGACCTCATGCGCCAAAGTTGGACTAAAGGCCCTGCGCGATTTCACCTACTCAAAAGGTCCTGCGCGATTGCCCCATGTGCAATTTGGGGCGTGCGCGAACTGATTGGGCCACATTCTAACTAAGTGTGGCCTAACTTACAACAAAGAACAGATCATTTTTCAATAACAGGCCCACATTATGAAACATATTCGGAAATGTCAAAGGGCCCAATTTTGAAAAAAAACACAAAATAAAAAAAAATAAAGGGGCCCAAATTCTCAAACCCTGATCACAATAGAGGAAAAAGGGCCCAAATAAGAGCTTGCGTTGTGGACTTAGCAGCCATTTTTGATCAAATGCTCTAATCTGTTTATCATTTTCAGATCAAAATGGCAGCCATTCCCAAAATCAGACAGATCTACCCAAGGGAAAACTGGTACACTATCAAAGAAAATAACCCCAAGCTAGACCCAGAGGTGTTCTCATGCCAAGATGAAGTTGTCATTGCCATTCTGAAAGGGCACAAGCTGTGGAAAGCCATGAGCAAATCTGCTGAAGTACCAGAAGTGTATATCCAACGATTTTGGGGAACACTCAACAAAGTCTTTGACAACAACAATGAGGAGATAGATGACGTGCTGACCGCCACTATCATGAACACTGCGGTCACCATCAACAAAGCCCTGCTGCACCAAGCTCTACAAATCCCAGAAGAAGATCACTATGACGAGCCGGTATCTGAACCTGAAATGATGGCCGATATGATTAAGCTAGGCCATGCTGCACCAATCAAGCTCATTTCTGATGTCAGACCGGGACGCTTACCAAGACCGTGGAGAACAATGCTAGCTATTCTCAACAGGTGTTGTACTGCCAAACACACTGGCTTCGACAAGTGCAGCATCTACCTTTTGACCATCTTCCATGGCATCGCTTTCATGAAGAACTACGACTACGTCTCCCTGATATGGGATGAAATTTTCGAGCTAGTCAGAAAGAGGACGAAGATGGACCAGATCAAACACCTTCCCTACATGAGGTGGTTTTCAATGATTGTACGACATCTCCCGATCCACTCCAGCAATTGGTCGAAGATTATCAAAGGAGAATGTCTACATATCGTCCGTCCAACGTCTCAAAAAGATGCCTGATGATCGCACGCTGGTACCCATGACTATACCAGTGGCTCTTCTGCAGTTAGCCGATCCGAATGATCTATTTGTCCGACGCTACTGTGAAGAGCACAACATTATATTCCCTATGGCTCAGATAAACCCCCCTGAGCCTACCCCTGGGAGAAAACCGAGTGTGAGTGAGGGTCCTAAGAGTTCAACTCGGCCACAGAGACCAGTGGCAAGTTAGCCCCATGATGATCAGACTACGTCTGCTGAGGGCCACACCCGTGCTGAAGAGACTACCCGTGATTCATCAAGCGTAGCCAGAACACTAGACGCTGATGATGAGGACTCTGGGAGCAAGGCTGAGGAAAACGACAATGATGACAGTGATGAGGATGACGATGACGAGGACAATAATGCGAGAAAAGCCAAGAAAGCCCCTGCTCAGAAAGGAAGACTCATTATAAGGCTTTCTAGGGCTACAAACAAAGAGGGGTCTCACCTGATCAAAAACACTGAAGGACAAACAATCAGTGAGACTCACTCTAAGGTACGTCACGACAACCCCTCCTCGTCATCCATTCCTATGCAAAGAATGCGAACGGACAGCGCCATTGCGGATGACATGACCATATTTGATAGCTGTTCCGACTTCGAAGAAATAAATCGGGCTAACCCCATAGGTGCAGAGACTGATATTTTCAGTTTCCGAGTAGAAGACGCAGCATCAAGCCCAACTACGCATCCACAAGCCCAACCTAGCCACACTGCTTCCTCCCAACAGGTAGTAGTTTCACAAATAGGGGATACTACACCCACCTCTCTGCCTCCCTACGACGCAGTTGAGGAATTATATAGTGGTCTATCACCCTGGACCACTACCCCTCCTTCAAACACGATGAGTCTAGGTGTCACACTCCCTACATTTTCAAATTTTTCTAGGACACCTACACTTCTCACACCACTGCACTCAACAGGTTCACTTTACCTGTCCACAACGATCGGAGATACGTCAATAATGATCGGAAGTCCTGCTGCTCTACAGATAACTCAATCATTATATGCAGGCCACACATCGGTAATCTTTACTGATGCTGTGACAACGGTTACTACCCATGTAACCGGACAGCCCGAACCTACCGACCTTTCTGTCATTCTGCAGCGTTTCATGGATTCCACCATCAAACCCTGGGTGCACGAAGCAATAACCGCTCGAGCACAGAAATTCATGAACACCCAGGCGCTACAGATTGACACCACCCAACCACAACCATCCACTTCTCACTCTCAACAACAACTTACCCTCATACTTACCCTTCAAACCTCTGAACCATCAACCACACAACGTCAAACACCTACCACTTCAAGGGGAACCCAGGATACAGAATGCGTGTCCTTCCCTACAACGACCACACCTCATCCTAACCCTTACACCATTGTTTTCGAGGAACTCGAATCTATTATGCTAGCAAGAATTCTAGCCACCGAAGAAGGCAACCGAACCCCCAGACAAAAAGCCCTTCTTCTTATATTTTTAAAAACCGATAGCACATGCCGTGACAGTCTCCGTAATCTCAAACGTTCACATGAGGACCCCGATGATTCGGATCCTCATGATGGGGAGAACAAGAGGCAACGGACACTCGAGCATGGAGCATCAACAAGCCAACAACCCCCACACGAATCCCAACCGGAATCCTCGAACAACCAGCCCCCATCCACTACTCAACCCAATAGTCAAGCCACAAACCTACATATCTCTAGCATGGTTGAGCTAGACAAAACACTGAGGCATATCTCTCAGAGATTTTGACCAAGGATGGAGTGGAAGTCCTGAGGTAGCTACTTTGTGTACACCATTTTATTCAGGCCATCAGGAAGAACCTAGCTCTAGACTGATGACAACGGCCAATCCTTGTGATCACGGCTCTACCTTCCACGAAGCAACACTGCAGAAGGCTCCCACTGAAGAACAAAGCCCGTCCATCTACGATCAACTAGAAGACATCATTATAGATGAAAGATGGAACGGAGAATGGACAGAATGGGACGACATCAGACAAGAGGTCGAGCAATATGAAATGCAAAGAGGAGTCTATCTCAGAGACCTGCTGAAAAAGTGCGCTGAAGATTTAATAGGGCTTGAGGAAGATGAACTCGAGGAAGGGGAGAACTACAAGAAAACTCCAGCAGAGCTACCCTCCATTGTCAGAAGAACATGTGCGCTCTTGCCCAGATATGAAGACCCATGGGAGAATATCAATATCACTGCCCCCTTCCAAGAGGAAATCCGAAAGAATTTATGGAGAAAGCCTTATAGGATCAAGAAACTAGACGAGCTGAAAGTCCGAGGTCTTACCCATCTAAGAGGTAGACAAGTCGGCGGACATCTTCATATGCTATATCATCGATCAACAGGCTTACAGCGCCAGATTCTGGAACACGATCTGAAAACGAGCAAATGCCCTATTTGGGATATTCTGAAAGTGTCCAGAGGAGATCATCATGGAATAAAGTATTCGATTTATCGATTACAAACAACTGATGGCACAGAGTTTACCTATCAAGAGAACGATTTCATTATGCTCAAGATGGAAGACATCTATCAAATGTCTATGGTCTACAGGAACCTGCCCATCAGAAAGAATAAAGTCCTCAAAGAAGGATATGAAGCAATAAGACGTTTCATGATGAGGCAAGTCAGAGTTCATGCCACTCACGATCTTCAGATGGCTCTCAAGAACAACATCACCAGAACAAATCTTACAAAGCCAATCTTGTATGGACCGGAGGTTGAAGCGTTTCCACCTTACACTATTTTTGAAGATCCGGCCATAGTCATTTATCTCAATCATGAAGAGAAGAAACGCATTATGTGGATAGATGACATTGCAAGATACTGTGATGGGACCCTGAAGATCATCAAAGAGAAACTACTTCCGCTGAAATCTGATATCGAACGAAGACTTGTTGAAGCCTCTGAAGCTGAAATAAAGGAATTCGACAAAATAAACGCGGTGCTAAAGGCAATTGAAGACAGACTCGAAAAGAAAAGAATGTTGTGCATGTACGAGCATGCCTTAGCATTGCGGAAGAACTACTTCAAAAGGCAAAAGAACAATAAGAGCTGAAATGGACATTGGATCACAAAGGGGGAGATTGTTAGAGATATTTTTTATTGTGATCCATTGTATTTTATAAAGCTTAGTAGTATAATTTATTAGATAAGCTATTTTAGGTAAAGGCCACATTCCTAAAGGGAATGGGCCTCTTTATTTTGGAAGCCCAATGCTTGTAACCTAGCATTCTACAAAGGGCTATAAATAGACACTATGTAGAATGCGTAGAAAAGAGTTTTTCCAACGTAGAAGAGTGTTTTGAGAGAGTTTGTGAGAGGGGCTTTTCATTCATTCATCCCTGCGCATACTTAGACTAGGCTACGGAGGTTTTACGCTAACTTCTCCAACATCATTCTGTAAACTTCCTAGCCATCAATGAAAGCTTCCAATACACTTATTCATATCCATCTTCATACATTATTGTAGTGTAGATCACAGGGACCAACATATTCTGATGAAGAGATGATACCTAAGAGGCTTTCAATGTCATTTGAACCTTTTCCAACATCATTGGAAGTATGTTTTGAAAGAATTAAGCCTTTCAAAGATTCAACCATGTCCAATAACTTCTGCAGATCATCATTTGAACTCTCAGCAAGAGAAACACAACTGAAAAAAGAAGACCAAAGATCACCCACCAATTTACTTTTAGAATCAGTAGCACATCCATCCAAGATGTTCCGAGAACATTCAAATATAGGCTTTTCCAAAGCTTTTTTTGTCCAACGATTCAGTATATATTGACTGGGCAGCTCCCGAACACCCTTACCTTTTATAATGAATAGAACATGACGGCACAATAAACCTTCCCTCTGAAACATCTTGCAAGAGCAAGAACTATCATGATCAACGGGATTATATGTAACTTCATATGTTTTTTCACGAAGAATATCAACAACAGAAACATGATCACAGCCTGATTCATCAGTAGTGAAGCGTTGAATACCACAAGAAAAACACACAGCTTTCCATTCACTTTGAAACAAGTAAAAAACAGTGAGGGTGTAAAGTTCAGAAGCATTCTTCTCAAGTGGTAATGGTGTGAGAAATTGAGGAAATAATTTTTTGGAATTAGCATGCAACTGGTCATGGTGATAACGTTGAGACTCTATGGCAGTTTGAAAGCGAGATGCAAATTCAACCAAAGATAGGAATGGGTTTAAGAAGTGGTCAAAAAAGTTATTTTCACTCTCTGATCTTTGAGTAGATCTTAAAATACCACCTAAAAATACATCTCTGAAATAGGCGGGAATCCACATTTCTCTAATATCAAACAAATTCACAAACCAGTCATGTTTCTGTAATCCAAAATCAGCCATAACGGACAACCAACCAATAACAAATTCATTCGGTTCTAGATCACGATTTCACACAACAGCATTCAAACGGAGAAGAAAATCGGTTTCATCACAAAGTTTATACCCAACTTTTTCACGGACTTTTTTCATTATGTGCCACATGCAAAGCTTATGTTTTGCCTTGTCAAAAACTCTGGGTATAGCTATTTTCATAGCAGGGTCTTGAACTGTCACGATACTTATGGGCTGACAACCACTCATACACCGCAAGAATGTCTCAAAACCCCATGTATATGAATCAACATCCTCATTAGCAATCAAAGCAGACCCAAAGGTAATACATTTACGGTGGTTATCTACCCCAGTAAAAGGTGAAAAAATCATAGAATATTTATTCGTAGAAAATGTGGAATCAAAAGTAACCATATCACCAAACAATGCATAATGTTTCCTACATAATGCATCTGCCCAAAAAACTCTAGTCAATCTCTGAGTTTCATCAACAACATAATCAAAAAAGAAACCACTTGAATGAGCAACCTTTTGCTTAAAAGATTCAATAAACATATGTGCATCTCCATATTTAACATATGTCTTCAAATCACGATAACAGTTCTTAAAATCAACTAATGAAGCACCAATGTTTCCATACCTACCGATATGTTCTTTCATCATATGAAAAGACAAACTTTCTCCCTTGTTAAGCTTCGCATTGTCAAAAATAAATTTCTTATGAACCACAGTTATATTACGGTTATGCTTTTGAAACATTTGACTCTTGGGAGTAGTAAACTCATGTGTATGTGGCTCATGAAAACGGTATACTGTATATGAACCAAAAGAAGAAAAATGGATTTTCATATAAGCACCACAACCTGTTCTCTTTAGGGCAGTTCGGCGAGGTGCACTTTTACCAGATTTCTGTTTTTCATATTTAAACAAACGTTTTTGCTTACTGTCACTGTCCTCTTTAAAACCTTGTTTGTTGCATAGAAAATATTTCCTTAAAATAGTACCATCTCGATGTTTATTATCACTTCCTAACCACACTTCAAATCCACACATCGAAGCATACTGATTGTAAAAGAGCTTAGCATCTCCTAAGGAAGAGAAAGTCATACCAACATCAGGTTTACAATCAGGAGGGCAAGCTGGAATCCATTGTTTAGAAGAAAAGGAAGTGCTCAAGAATGGAGTTGAGTTCACAGTTGAGTTCACATCAACAACATCAACATCATCAACTTGATCCATTATACTTAAAAGCAATAAACATTAAGATAAAGAAAATTTAGTCAACAAAAATAATCTATATATAATTACAACTTCAGATAACAAATAATAAATGTTTGGGTTTCCTACATCAAATTCAAAGTACTATACATAGTGATTGGAAATTGAGGTTCTCTTTCAACTAAAAAACTTTTAATCAAATAACAATAACTATTTATTCAAAATAAATAACTTTTATTGAAAACACTGGTCTAAAGGTTAGAAGGTTTAAATATTAATAAAAATGTAAATTTAAGAGGACAAAACTATAACTACATAGAGAAAGGTTTAATAAAAAAGTAGTCAATGAGTTTCATTCGTTATTCATAAAATAACACTATAGGCTCGAATGAATTAGGGTTGAAACAGTCTAACAAACACTTGGTAGGCATAATATATAGTTTCCATTGAGTTATGAAACAAATAAGACACCAAAAAAGTAACGAGCAAAACTGTTTGTAGAAAGATAGTTGAATCGAATATCATAATTTAGGATTCAAAAAATCAAAACTAAATTCCAGGAAAAAATCAATCGCAGAGCATTAATTGAATCAGATGAGGTCTGAATTTAGTAGTTCAGATTAGGAAAAAAGAGGATGATCAAACCTTCGATATGTCTTCGATGGGAAGTCGTCGTCAACAAAACTTGCTCTTTCCTCTTGTACGGCGCTGGAAATAACTACAAGGTATAGGTCATAAACTTGAATGAAATGGCATAGCCATCGAATTGAAGTTCGAGGGAGAGAATTGAAGTTCGAGGGAGAGACGGAAACAGAAACTGGCTTTAGCAAAAAACGTATATACTTCATGAAAATTACAAATATGCCATTAATGAAATAATTGTGTTGAGCGGAAAGCATCGTACGACTGAAATGGGTTGATTGTATGGTCCGGAATGCTTCTCACTTTTCAACCTAAATGACACTTCTCATGGGATCTTTTCTCTCTCTCTCTCTCTCTCTATTTATATATATATTTATATATATATATATATACCCGGTAAGCAAACCACCAAAATCAGTGGGGTAAATGTCAGGGAACATTTTACCAGGTTTTATTAAAGAACATCAAAGAAAATGTTCCCCAAAAACGTTAAAGAAATGTCCCCATTATGATACTCTTAAAGCAAATGGGGGGACATAAAGCCTTACCCCAAAAACGTTAAAGAAAATAAACCCATTATGATAAAGTGAAGCGTAAATGTCCCCGTTTAAGAATTTTACACAGACTAATTGCATACATAGGGCATCCCCGCGATGTCCAACTGAATAGATCCCATAAGTTCCGACGGGATTTGATCGCCAATCCTCCATTTGAATGGGCCAAGAAGACCCAATTTAGCAACCATGCACCCTTGCAGCCTCTTATTTACACACACACACACACACACACACACACACACATATATATATATATATATATATATATATATATATATATATATATATAGAATAGAGATCAACTATAAATCATGCTTAATTTACAAAGTACAAACTTATCTTGGCCATCCGATGAGTTGATCTAAAGGATATAAATGCAAGGTGGCATTTTTGTAATAAAACCTAACTTTTCTAGGGTGCAACTCATTGAACGTAAATGTGTAACTGCTATTTTATGACTATATAATATGCAACAATTTGAACCTCAATATGCAATGCAAATAACGTCAAGGTCCATCATATAAACATTTGCACAATAAGCACAGTTTGTACTTGATCTTTCCCCTATAAGCACAATATATATATATATCCTCAGTCGTAATTAAAAAGATGGGGAAAAATTCATGGGTCAAAGGAAAAAGACAATCAACATATCACAAACAAAAAGAAAATTCCACACCAATTATTTTTTATGAAGTCAAATAAATTTGGTAGAAAATACATTTAGTTACACGAATAAGACTGGTAAGAAATATAGCGGCTACTAAATAGGCTTATAGTGTTATCCATAGACAATGCATACACATGTACTTGCTGAGAAGTAGCCGTTGTTCTGATTTAAATAGAAAAATGGGCTTGGATGTAAGAGGGTTTGTCCGTTCCCATGTACAAAAATGATACTCTTATCAATAATAAAAGAAACCTTACAAATTTCATGGCTAGGCTTCATATCTCTTTCAAGACGTCAAGGTAGATGCTGTCATTGTTATTGATATTAGGGGAACAATACAAAATCATCTAAAACTGCCTATTCTTGCCTAATATGTTTGCTAACTTCTAATAAGTTTCCCATTTCTGTATTCCTTGATACCTAAAAATAATAAAAACCAAAAAGGTGATGAAGTTACCAATTTAAACTTGAAAACATCAAAATAATGTTTAAGTTACTGGTTTACCAAATCGGTTGATGTTAAAAACTGTGATTAAGTTACACTTTGTATCTAAATGAAAAACAATAAAATCAACCGTAAAGTTTTGCCTCCCATGCCCAAAAGAAAATGGAATATCAATAAACGTTAAAAGAAATAAAAGGAGATCAAAAATAAAAATGGAAAGACATTGTTTGAAAGACTAAAAACATACTACCTCCGTTCTCTTGTAGTTGCAACATTGGTGAATTTTGCACTATTAATATATTCTACTTTGACTACCTTTTATTTATTAATGTATTACTCGGGTATAAATTAAGTTTTTGAAAAAAATGTTAAATTCCTCTCATTTAAAATTTTCAAAACCGATTTTTTTTCATTTTATACTAATAAGGAATGAACGATATTAGTGGTCAAACTTGTGCGTTGGCAAACATAAAAAGTGGACCGTTGCAACTAAAACAGAACGGAGGGATTTTTTAAATATTGTAACTTGAGATATAACGCTTTTCATTCGAAAGGATGCCGTCAAATAAAAATGTAGGAGTAAGGAATAATATATAGACACATAACATAACATCAGGCACACAATATATCCATCCTCTGTATCACATTGACCATAGAGAAAAGCACACATAACATCAAGAATAGTCATTGACAATAGAAGTGATATATAGTTTAAATTCAATTAGGTTTTTTGTGTTTAGTATTATGTTAATTAAAGATCTGAGATTTTTTTTCTTCTAGATTTCTAATCCAAACACAAAGAAAATACAAATTGTAAAAAGATGTGATGTATAACACAAAAATTTGATTTGAATGAAATCGGCAGTGACTTTTTAAAGTCACTTTGAATGAAAGTGCAGCTTTTTTAAATAATAGATTGAAATGGGAAATTTACATACTATGGAAGCGCCATTTTTGTGTCTTAAATAAATAAATGGAGGGAAGTAAATTTGTAGACTTGTTATCTAAAATAGATAATTAAGAAACAAAGAAAACTAACCTTGAAAGGCTGATTGTTAGTGCTAAATTTTATCATGGACGTGTATTATAACTCAATACATGTATTCTGAAGTAGAGACCGTGCTATATATGTAGTACTCGATGAATGTATTATGAAGAATACAATGTCCTATTATAAAGTTAATTTGTTTTTTCAATGCTATTTTTAAATAAATAGCAGTTTGTTCAATTTGTTTGTGCAATCAAGAATAGTTGTTTAGCAGTTTCGTACAATCAAGAGTTACGATGGGATCTGCATACTTGGCATTTCAGTGCAACATAGATTAGTGATCTGACTTGGATCAAGTTTAATGCTAATATTTATTGTCTAATGCTTTTTGAAAAAGAAAGAAAGATGACCTTAGCATTCTATCAAACATCACTCATGGATAGTCTACCCGGGGTAGCTTATCCGAGGGGTTATTACGGGGAATAACTAGAGAGAAGTCAGAGCAAGTAAGTAGAGAGGGAGAGTATATTAGAAATGTATTCAGCGTTTTTAGCGTGGTTTACAACGGGGAAATGGGGTGCTATTTATAGTAGCAATAAATGCCGGACAGGGACACGTGTCAAGCGTCCATTGGCCGAGAGGTCACCTCAACTGGTTGGCGCTGGCAACCGCATGTGGCCGCATTTAATGCGGCTGTTCGGATGGGACGTTGTATGGGTATGGTGATCCATACGCATGTGGAGCGGATATTATGTCGGAAAAGGCGCCCTCGGCTGTAGATGATTAGCCGAGGGCTCTGAGCATCAGGGACCTCCTTAGTGCCGAGGGCTCCACAATGCCGAGGGCTACTAATTTTCGTCGTTCTTCCCAGTAACTTTGTTTTCCTGTTTTGGCCCTTCTGTGAGGTTCAGAACCTTCGGCCAGGGGCCCGAAGGCTCCCCCCTGGTGCGCATTGTGGGCTGATTGGTACCTTGGGCGCTGTGATTTGGGCCTGTTGTGCTTCCTGGGCCTATTGGGCCTTTATTGGAGTAGTGGAAGTCTGTGGGCCGGGGGTTCCCGGGCCACATACTCCATCAGGAGTCCCTCACTCCTTTTGCCGAAAGGTACTTGAGGGAAAAGGAGTAATTGTGTTTGTCCTCTGCCGTTGTTCTGTTGTAGTTTGTAGAGTTGTGGGTAGTTTGCTGTTTGTTTATTCTGCCGAGGGCAGTCCCTCAGTTACCCACATGTCGGGACTTGACGGGGCATGTTTGTGATCTTTGTGATTTTCCCGAGGGGGTCCTCCAGTCCCCCACTCCTTGAGGCACTTGCAAAGTGGTGAAAAGGAGTAGAGCAGTCATGTTGCTGTTTTGGGCCGAAGGATGACGCTTTTCGTTTCATTTTGGGGGGATGCCTCGTTAAAAACCTCATTAGGAAAAACCCTGTGGGAAAAAAATCCTAATGAGGGAAAAAGAGTGCAGCGAATTCCCCCAATGATGAATCGAAAACGTGAAGCCCTGGTCTGAAATGGAGTACAATGCTGATGTCGAAGACTATCCTTGTCCTGAGGGCGCATGTGATGATTAGCCGGAGGCGTGCTGTTGATATCCTTGGAGGGGCCGAAGGGGAGTCCCTCAATCTGGGGACCGAGGGCGTGATGAATGTGAGTAGTAGTTGAAGTGTTACCGGGGTGTCCCCTGTTTGTTGATTAGTTGGCGAGGAGTGTACTCGAGGGCTATCTGTCAATGAGGCGTACTCCCCGGGGGCTACCCGGCCCTTAAAGTGTTGAGGGGGGATCCCCGAGGGGTGCGCCTGTTATGAAGCCGTGGGCTTCTGAAGGAGTGAGCCCGAAGGCATTTGTTACGTGGCGTGAGGGGTACAAACCGGGAGCGTCTCTGGGTAAGTGTACCCGGGGGCTCTTCTTGATGAAGCGGAGTGAAGCAAAAAGCCCGGGGGCTAGTTTCTTTGTTGATGAAGGAGTGATCTGTCAAGTGTAGCCGGGAGCTCCCAGAATATAGCCGTTGGAAATATAGCCGTTGGAATATCTAACGTCAGAATATAGCCGTTGGGGGGGATTCCACGTGGTGCGTGCTCGTTGGCTGTCCGCGGGCGGGCGTCACCGATTGGGCAACAACGTCGGTTGGTAATGATGATTTTGTACCGGAGGCCCGGTATTCAGGCCCAAGCCCGAATTTGGGCGCCTATAAATACCCCATGGCCGGGCAACACTCCTCCTTGTGCGATATCATTGTAGCGAAGCTCTGCCCAAATTCCTAGAGAGAGAAACAGCTGCCTTCGATCTAACTCCCATTACAAGGTCAGTTCCTCACTTGTCCTCCACCCTTGTCACCTAGCTGTGCTTAGCGGCCTTAGGACTTACACTTAGGAATTTTAGCTTAGAGCACTTAGCATACTTGAGCCCTCGAACTAGCACATGCGATGTCTTCACAAAGCGACTCTCAAGACATCTCGGGGGCGCCCTCGATGGAGGAGGAAATCATCTCGGACGTGGAGTCCACAAGCGAACAGCCCTCGGTGGGACAAGATGTCTTCGTCGCGATGGAGCTGCAGAAAGCCTTCGTTGCCGAGGCGGAAGCCGAGGGCTTCGAACACGAATGTGAAGACGAAGAGCTAGCCCTCGCCTAGCAAGTAGCTGAGGAAGAGGCGCAGAAAGAGGGGGCGAGGGTCACCGTCGCTGTTCTCCCCCCTCGGGGCACTGGTGAGGCCAACACCTCTCGGCCGCTGAACGTGGTTCCCATCCGGGTGGCCCCCGGAAAAAAGAAGGCGAAGGTTGCTGCTTCCAAGAAGAAAGGCAGCGTCGCAGACCAAGGGAAGCCCCTCGATATTCCCGAGGGGTATTCCTACTTGAATACCGCCGCCTTAGAGATAAGGTCAAAAGCTGATGAGGCGGATCTCTACGTCACCCAGTTACATGTGGGCCCCTCGGCCGTTGTGGTGGCACCGAGTCCCGATGACGTCCTCTCCCGGGCTCCCGAGGGCTGTATTGCAGTGCATGTCCTGTCCGTATCGATGGGGCTCCGGTTCCCCCTACACCCGTTCTGTCGGGAATACCTTCGGTTCGTGGGTCTGGTCCCCTGCCAACTGACGCCAAACAGCCACTCCTACCTCGCGGGCTTCCTCCATCTCTGCAAATCCCGGGTGGTAACGCATAGCCTGGACCTCTTCTTTCAAAGTTTTAATCTGTGCCAGGGAGGGCACGCGAATGCCGAGGGCTTCGCAAACTTGCAGCAGGTGGCCCTGTTCAAGCTGTTTACTGAGGCGCCCTCCTCAAACAAAGGGTGGAAAGACCGATCGTGCTACGTGAAGTTAGCCGAGAGCCCCTTCCCGAGGGAACTGCGTGATCGGTTCAGAAGGCATGAGAAAGTGAGGAGCGCCGCCCTCGAGAAGGACCTCTAGGAGGGATGAGATAAGAACATAACCATCAAGGAGTGCACCCAAGAGGAGGACCTCTACACCCTCGGGTTCCGGCGGTATCGCTTCCTAGGGGAAACGGATGAAAAGTTCCCGGTATTTGAGGGAGCCTCCGGAGGTAGCAGCTGAGGGCACCCTTATTTTCGTATTTTAGCACATAGTTTGTTTTTTTTTGTACTTCTATGCCATATGTTAATGACCCATCGGCCTAACCCCAAATTGTGTTGCAGGTATCCCGGTCAATATGATGAACGTCAGAGGGCTTGCTGACCTCAAGAAGAAGAAATCTTCCAAGGTTCCGAAGGGGACGGATGTTGGCGTCCCTAAACCCGCCGGTGACTTCTTTAAGAAGCCGGAGGGGCCGCCGGCGGTCCCAAATGCTGATGCTGCCACTGCTGCGAAGAGAAAAGTTGCGGGCAAGGCTCCCGAGGGTAAAAAGCCAAAAACGGGAGACGTCGGGAAGAAGGGTCCCCCCATGGTCATTGTTGATGATTGCCCCGCCTCCGGGATGCCTGAGGAGATGACGGTGGCGGAAGTGCCGGGGGGTGTCCGGGAGCTATCCTCAGAGGTCCTGATGGTTTCTCTCCCGGTAGGAACGGCCGTGATGAACTGCACGGCGGACCCGAGGGTGCTTCTGAGGGGCATGACCCCTGAGATTGACAGAGCCGCCCTCGGGGCTGATGATGACCAGGCCCTCGAGGACAAGATCCTCCGGTCTTCCCTTACTGTAAGTTTTTACCTATCTGTCGTTTTACTTTGTGCCAGAACATACTGTACGGCTTTCCTAACTTCTTTATTTCTTGTAGACTTGCATTGCCCTCGGTGAGCAGGCCCGGAGGCTGGAGGAGTGGCGTCTGCGCAAGGCTGAGCAGGATGCCAAGATGCGGGAGCTCATCCGCCAGAACTCTGATGCCATCCGGCAGATGGCTATGCTGGAGGAGAGCCTTCGGCAGATGACGTTGCGGGCGGAGGCCGCAGACCGGGGCAAGGCCGAGGCTGAAAGGTCTGCAGCTGAAACCCTCTAGAGAGCCGCCAAGGAAGCCGAGGCCGCCAAGGCGGACGCCGTCTCAAAGGCCCGAGAGGACGCCGTCTCCGGATTTCTGGCAGGGGGGTGGAGAGCAGAGGAGCACAAACAGTGGCTGTCCTCGGTCGTGGAGTCCTCAGTCGACGAATGGTGCGATGGGCCTGGAGTGGAGTGGGTTTCCCGAAAGGGTAAACAATACTACGATGGGGGCGAGTTTTTTACTCAAGCCCTCATCTACCGGAGGATGGCCCGCCATCTGAAGATCGAGCAGAAGGACTTTGACCCGGCAGCGTACGGACTTCCCCCCCTGCAGCCAGATGTCCGTGTTCCTCTCCCCTCAGATGTCAAGAGGCCAGACTTGGAGGACACTGAGCTGATGAAGGAGGCCGAGGGAGACGAACCTGAGGCCGGCATAGAGGTCACTTCAAAGCCTTCGGAAGAGACGGCCCCCGGGGATGTTAATATGTAAATTTTATTTAGCATATTCTGAACAATCTGGCTGTAATGAATGGTTGTATGCCCTTGGCCTTCGGCCCTTTTGTAACATACATTTGAATTTCCCTTTCTTGGATGAATGAATGCTTGCCTTTGGGCTTTGTGTATATAATTTGTTCCCTTCAATTGTTTCTCTTTGAATGTATGCACTCGCCTTTCTGAATGCATGCCTTCGTTTTTCTGCATGTATGTTTAGGACTTAGAATATATTCTTCCAAGTATAGTGCCTCTCGTAGCCCTCGGCTACTAGGCCTATTTAGTCAGTTGAACCTTTCACCGAGGGCACAATGATCAGGACTTAGAAATATTTCTAAGTGTTTGTTTCATCTGTTGGCCCCCGGCTAATTCTATCCCTCTGGTTCTGTGTAGCCTTCGTGAGATAACCGGAGGCGAGGTGTTTAGGACTTAGAAGAATTTTCCTAAGTGTTTGAATGCAGTCTAGCCTTCGGTGATTGGGTACCCTCCGCTGACTGGATGTATGACCGAAGGCCCATAAATAGTTAGGACTTAGAAAATATTTCTAAGTGTAGTTTTACCAAGTCTTCAACCGTATGACCCCTCGGGCTACATGGAGATTTGACCGAGGGTCAAAATATGTAGGACTAAGAAAATATTTCTAAGTGTATTTTCATCAAGCTTTTGACTGTGCGGCCCCTCTGGCTGCATGAAGATTTAACCGAGGGTCAAAATATGTAGGACTTAGAAAATTTTTCTAAGTGTAGTTGTGTGAGGTAGGAGCCCTCGGGTGAATGTGAGGACCCTGTCTCAGATATGCCTTCGGTTGACTGGTGACCCCACAAGGGGCAAGGTGTTCAGGACTTAGATTATTTTCTCTGAGTATTTCCTGCTGCTGGCCTTCAGGAGGGGACCCTTCGGCTGTATGTGTTGTAGGTTTAGGATAGTTTCCTTTGCCCCTGTAATGTTGGCTTGTGGCAACAAAAAGCCTTTGGTTGTTTGTTATGTCCCCCCAATATTGATGTAGGAGAGTTTGTAATCCAAGCCTAGCATAAAAAGGCAGACTCCCTCGGGAACTGTCTGGATGTATCCCCTCAGCATGTAGTGAGGTGCCGGAGGTGATTCTTGATTTGATTTGGCCAACATCTGATAGCTTTGTCATAAAGTAGCCTTCGGTAACATTTTTGAGCTGTTGTTGGCTGAGCTGGCCATGTTTTGTAGTATTTGAGCCTTCAGTTTTAGGTATAGCCGGAGGCAATCCTTAAGTGGACTTAGCCATTTGTTGATGATATCTGTTGTGAATGGTATCCTTGGTACTCATGAGCGTCCATGTATCGGAGGCGTTCCCTTGGGGAGCCCTCGGTATGTTTCCGTGAATTGTAGGAGTGATGTACTCATTGATTTCTCGTCGAGTCTACTCCCCTTCACCACCCCATTTTTTTTTATAGGTAGTGAAGGGAAGGCTTCAAGAAACTTGGTTTCTTAGTAAGGCTTGGCCTATCGGGAGGTAACAGAATACACCATTAGCTCCCCCCTCGGGTTGACCTTCCGAGTTCCGAGGGGATCGAGGGTCGTTCCCTGGGTACAAGATATGGTGGTCTGTAGCCTGCCTCCCCTTGGGGGATGGCGCGGAAAGCGCCTCAGTTTTGAAAGTCGTCCCCTCGACGCTAGACATAGTCAGTGGCCTGCCACACCCTTGGGGTGGTGGCGCGGGGAGCGTTTCGGTTTGGAAGTCGAATCCTGGGCATTTCTCGTGCCTGTCATACCCTTGGGGTGATGACGCGGAAAGCGTTCCGTTTTTGAAAGTCGAATCCTGGGCATTTCTCGTGCCTGTCATACCCTTGGGGTGATGACGCGGAAAGCGTTTCAGGGAAGGGTTTTCATTTGCACACTGTGTAAGGAATATTTGTAATTAGATTTTGATGATGCTAGATTGATTAGGACTTTAGAGTACCCCTCTTTAGACTTAATGTATTAGGATTTTCCTTTGTAAAATTCTTTAGTATAATCGACTTAGCAGAAGGCCTCCAGAGCAGAAGACCTACTTAGCAAAAAGCCTCCAGAGCAGAAGACCTACAAAGCAGAAAGCCTCCAGAGCAGAAGACCCTTGATAAGGCATTGGTTGAATAGAGGACCCTTGGTTCTCTGCATCAGAACAGAAGACCTCAGGGTCTCTGTTAGCCTTTACTCTGACAGAAACCCTCCTGGTTCTCTTTTGAATATCTTTTCAACAGAAGTGCTCAAGACCTTCTCTGATCAACTCTCTTCTAAAGACACCAGAAGGCCTGACACTTAGAAGAATTCCACCAAGCCGGGAAACCAACTGAAAGATTCCTTCAACGGCTAGGAGTCTTGAACGGAAAAGCTACAGTACGTGCATTAAATGCACATTTAATGCCCCCCATACTCCGTAGAGTAATTGCAGATGATTGGCCGCAATGTCAGGATTACTTTATCCCAAAATAGTAACCCGCCAACTTTACCGGGTCCTACTGGTCAAGTCAACTGCTCGCTCATTTAATGCAGTTGTCCTCCTTCTCCTCCAACGGGAAGACAACCTCAATATAAAAGATACACTACGAAGAACAACCGGATAACTTTGCTAACTTTTGCTACAACTCTGCATATACAAGAAATTCAAACGCTACAAAGCAAAAAGCCTCCTTGAGATTAAAACTTCATCATCTCCTACAAGAGAAGGCAGAAGTTGGAAAATTCCTTATTTCCAACTCGAGCAAAGTTCCAAGTGTTCTTCAACTCTTCAAGCTCATCACATACAAACTCTTTGTAACGAAGCAAGTTGGAGGATCCTCTGTTCTAAATAGAACCTCTTCTTTCACAAGAAGGACGTTCAAGTACCTGGAGCTGTGAAGTGGTGATACTTCTGGGAAAGCTCAGTGAAAGGACCAGTCTTAGGGAAGCCGAAAGTGCATCCAAGAAGACATCTACACTTGAAGAAGACGTGGAGATCTTCTTAAGTGATAGGGCTAAGGCATTGTAAACGGAAGTTTTTACGAGCTTAGTGGAACAGTGGACTAGAGGAACAAGTTGTTCCTTGAACCACTATAAAAAACCCTGGTGTCATTTACTTACTGCTTTACATTCATAGTTTTTATTTGAACTGTTTAACTCCAAAGACTTGGTATTTGTGTTCAGCAGAACTGGTCTTGTGAGTTAACAGAAGGCCTACTGCCTTTGCTTCTCTGAGGCTACTAACAGAACACCCTTTCAGAACCCCATCCGCTGCCAGTCTGTTCTGTCAACAGAACAGGCTATTCTGTTAAATCTGGTACTTAGCTTGAAAAAGTTAAAAACCAATACAGTCTATTCACCCCCCCCTCTAGACTGTATCCAGTACAATCGGGACCAACACACTGGTTGCAAATGGCCGGGGGCACTGCGTGCTGTCGGCACCGAGAGGTGGCACCTTCGGTATAGGCGTCCTCGAGGGGTACGGCTTTAGAAACAACACTTGGTGTTTGTTCCGATTTATGGCCCCCGGTACTTGGTACCGAGGGGTCTTCTGTGAAAACACTGTGGAAACACTTGGTGTTTCTTCCCATTTGTTGAAGGTGATTGTGTTGTGTCCCCCCGGCACCAGGTGCCGAGGGGTCTCCATTCGAGGACAGTTGGTACTTTCTTTTTGTGGTAGGTGATAGTACCGTCTACCCTCGGCACTTGGTGCAGAGGGTTTTTCCTCGGGGTAAGGCCTTGGGCCAGGGGGTGATATGAGGGATTGGCCCTTCGTAAGAATCCTGTTCCATGTTCTTGGTGTCTTCAAAATGCCTTTGTTCTTCAGAATTTTTAGGCCTTGGGCCATGAAATAATACATTCACTAGTCATGAGGGCTTGGCCGCTCTGATGTTATTGATAAAATTTAACTAAGTGATGTACATTCCAGTGCCTAGGGACTTCAGCCCCATTAGGGCGTTTTAGCTTGTAAGTCCCTGGTTTGATGATGGTTGCCACGATGTAGGGGCCCTCGAACTTTGGTGCCATCTTTCCGCCCTCGGTTGGTTGGCTAGCTTCCCTTCTTCGAAGGACATAGTCCCCCACTTGGAATTCCCGGGAGCGAACCTTGGCGTCAATGTAACTCTTCACTTGCCTTCGGTAGTTCTCTGCGCGCATGAAGGCTTGCTCTCGGCGTTCTGAAATAAGGTGGAGGTCGAGGGCCATATTGGCGTCGTTGGCCTCTGGATCATACTGTGTGACCCTTCGGGTTGGAAGAGTTACCTCAGTGGGGGCCTTAGCTTCAAATCCGTAGCAAAGGTAGAAGGGTGTCTCGCCAGTTGCCCGTCGAGGGGTGGTACGGTAGGCCCATAAGATATTGTGGAGCTCTTCTACCCAACCACCCCCTTCGGCCTCCAGTTTCTTCTTTAGGCCCTCGAGCAAGGTCCTGTTGGCGTTCTCCACTTCACCGTTGCCCTGAGGGTAGGCAACGGATGAGAAGGTGTGTTTGATGCCCCATGCCTCTAGGAGGGCACAGAAGGGGGCTGCCTCGAACTGAGTCCCGTTGTCGGAGATGATTTGTTGGGGGATGCCAAATCTTGTGAGGATGTTTTTAAGAACAAAGTGACGGCACCTGGCCTCAGTAATGCTGGCGAGGGGCTCAGCTTCCACCCATTTGGTGAAGTAATCGATGGCGACGATGATGTACCTGTTGTTTGAGGTACCCCTCGGCAGAGGGCCCACAAGGTCTATGCCCCATCGAGCGAAGGGTATGGATGTGCTGATGGGGGCATAGTTGACAGCTGGCCTGTCAGGGGCTTTCTGGAAGTGTTGGCATGTGGGACACCTTCGGGCAAGATCTGCACAATCCCGGGCCATCGTAGGCCAGAAGTAGCCCTGGATTATTAGCCTTCGGGACATGGAGAAGGGCCCCTGGTGGGCTGAGCAAGTGCCACTGTGCACCTCCTCCATTGCTACTTCGGCTTCATCTTGATGAAGGCACCGAAGTAATGTCCCGTTGTAGGACCTTTTGTAGAGCCTTCCGTCCTCGATAGCGTAGCTGGGAGCCCTCAGCTATGCCAGCTTGGCGCGGGCCTCATCCTCGGGCAATTGCCCTGTGGTGATGAAGGTGACAATGTCCGAGATCCAGTCACCTTGCCTTTGTAGTATGTGCATGATGGGGCTAGCGTGTATGCTAGAGAGGCTGAGTTCTTCCACTTTG